AACATTGCTCCAGAGTGACTAGTGGTTAAAAACCACAACCAACACATTTATTTTTCAGTTGATTAACAAAGGGTGATGTTTTTTAACAGCTCAAGTTTTCCCAGAACAAAACATGGGAAAAAAATGTGAATCCAGAGCCAAAGGAATGTAAAGTATGATGAGCACACAGCTGCAACCGACCACCCACAAGCTCTCGCTCCCTCTCTCACTCACTTATACTTTTACAATTTTAACTTCAATTTGTTTTATTGGTATTGCAAGTCCATTCATAGATGATATCATAGAAAAATGATGATATAATTGAAGGTAATAAACATAAACTCTACAAGTAACATTTTTCATTAGTACGTGTTGAGCATATTGTGCTTGTATAAATATATATTCAAAAATATATATATACCATAAATGACATGTGTTTTTTTTCTACTTATGGTTCCCTATATTATGGCAGGAGAAGACATATTTAGCCGCCAGTAATTTCATATTTTCGTCTACTACGACAAAACAGTCAAAATAAATAGTGTGGTTTTTACATTTTTTTATTTCTTGGAAAATCGTACTCTTACGTCATTATTTGACAATCATGTACATAACAAATGTGTTCCAGTGGCACTGTGTCCTCCCTTGGTCTTTAAAACGTCGACCATTTTCCTATATGAAGTTTGTAGTCACAACCTGACTTTTTTTCTTCTGAAATATTCCGTTTTAAAAGCCCTGAGCAGAGATATCAACATTTCCAAGGTGTATTGTGTTCTCCTTTTTTTATTTTATTTAATTTTGTTCATGATAGTGGATGGTGTCGGTGGCTACACACACACACACGCACACGCACACGCACACACACACTCCTGTCACTGCTCTGTTGGATATCTTGCATTTCACCTCAGACCCGATGTTCTCTCCACCTCCTGATCAAACTCGGCTCTAACGCAGAATGAAATGTTTTACGTTAAATTACCATGGCACATTCAATATAAACTGAATTTACTGTTGGGTTCCATCCAAGCCAACATATGTTGAGGAGCCCGTTTCCCCAACCAGAGCATGACTGATACTGTTGATGTAGCAAAGCTCTAAATCACCGGAGCTCTAACTTTGTGCAGTAAGACTTTAACACACATTTTACATACTGACTTTAATGTCCTGGAGACACATTTAGAAAGTGTCTTTAGGATGGAGATACTTAAGTCCAGGGTAGCTTTCACAACAAGATGTAACACTTCACACATTTTTTTTTTTTAAAAGTACTACCTGTTTCAATTGAAAGAGTACATGAAGGCCTGTTATGCCTTTTATTGTACCTCTCCAAGGCAGTGGAAGATTTCCACAAAAAATGTCACACAAACTTCTAGATGTAATTAAAACGTGTGAAAGTCAGATGCTTGTAGGAGATGCTACATAGAAGTTTTAATAGGCAAGAGTTTGGGCAACAATTTCAAAGCGATAATATGTCAGTGTTAACAGCTTATTTCTGAAATGTCCAAGTGGCCAAAAAACAAGTTATTGATTAATGTCAAGGTCTTAGCTGATATAAATGCAGTTTAACTACCACCAACTAACTATCAACGATTTCCAAACGTACCTGTGTTCTCTAAACGCATGTGCACCATAGTATTAGTGATGATACATATCATTTTTGAAATGATCATTTTTTTTAATTTAGGTTCTCAGATTAAAGTCAGAATCCTGAGAAAAAAGCTAGAATTCTAAGAAAAAGTCAGATTTCTGAGAAAAAGTCAGAATTATTAGTTTAATTATAAGTTTAAAATCAGAATTCTGATCAAAGATTTCCAACTTTCTTCTCAGAATTCTGACTTTAATCTTCTGGATTTTATACATATACAAATATTTTTTCTACAAAACCTGTTATAAAATTGAATTAAATGCCTTTTATACAAGATGTAAAAGGTTTATGTTCATGTTCAAGCAACAACATCTTTGTTAAAAAAGCCAACTATTTGACAGCTTTCACCAAATTTCTGATGTTGGTACCAAAAGAATTGCGGTTCAATAGCCAGCCTGAATACCAAGTGTAGCGTTTACTACAAAAAAAAAAGCTCAGTGAAACCTCTGCTTATGATTTCTAGCCGTAAAGACTCAAGTGATATTTCTGAAACAATCGTGCTGGAAAACAATGGATGTATTATTCTGTCTTTAGTAAAAGAATCCCTTGCCAGGTAATTGATGTTCTGGGATCATCCCTGTCTTCTCTCTATGTCCAACACATTTACATGGTGTTGACTTTTCCTGGCTTCCATCTCTTCTGTATTGTGAAACAGCGCTTTGAGAGAGCATTGTCTCATAATTCCTGTTATATTTACCGGGTTGCCTGGTGTGGGTCTGTGTTTTATATGGTGGTGACTGTGTGTGTGAGAGAGCATGTGCATTCAGTCAAGGCTTCATTGAATGACTGCCAGGCTGTTCAGGGCTTTATGATGATTATGTTTTTATTTAGTTGTTTGTGTTTTTGTCTGCATGCATGTCGACTGTCACGACCAAATTAAGAGATCTCTGTGATGATGTTAGTCATCTCCATCCTGACTCATGTCACTTCTGGTATTCCCGATTAAATTACTCCTGGCTTGAGGTAGGGAAACACTTGGCTTCACATCAGCAGGCCTTGAAACTCTCATACAGAAACAGATATATATACTCGCAGCCAAAAAGACAGAACAATCCAGAATTTGATAAATAAAACGGTTTGTATTGCTTGAAAACAGACCCCATGTTGCCTTCTGTTAACGGCTTTGAGTGAAGCCAGCGTTGTTTCTACGGTCCCCCGGCGATACTCCACTGTTTGCGTAGCTCGCCTTGCCTTTTCTCTACTTCATTGTGTTTCAGCGGTGACCCGTGACAACATAAATGCAGTGGAGACTAAGGATACATCCACTGTAGGAGGGATATGTCAAAAGATGTTCCCTAAACTGTGGATAACATGGCTCACAAAGTTCCCTTGTTTTCTCTTTTCTTTTGATCGTCATTGTAACCTTTTTCCTATATTCCACAACACTTCTCCCCCCCCCCCCCCCCCGTTATACTGTTTATTCGCGCTCTCCATCTCTTACTCATGTTGTAATATCTTTCCCTTTGTTATGATGTTGCATGTTTTCCCTACTTCTATCTGTTGCCCAAACCCTTCTTTTAGCTGACTTAAATTCATTTTTAGTTCAAGTTTACCCCTATATCCTTCTCATTCCCTTATAGTACCTTTTATTTTAATGTTATCTCTCACATACTGGGCACTTAGGTGACTCTATTATTATTATTATTATTATTCATAGTGTGTGATAACGTTGTCAATAACATCATTAGGGGGAAATTGAATTTGAGAAATTGAGTTAGAGAGGTTGGAGCAGGGGACGTGTGGCCGCCTACACAAGAGTGTGCGGGGATATCGCCTTACCTTTCACAAATATTTCCTCATACATCCAGGCCCTCCTATCGCTCACTTTCATCTCTCTCTTTCCTACTTTTATTCCGTTTTTGGTCCCGTTCAAGAAGCCGTCATTTCTTCTCAAACAGTCAGGTTGGATGAAGTAAAGAGAAATCCTAAAAATGCAGTTAGTTATATGGGGCTTGAGAATGAAATTAAATACACTATATACTTTACAAAATGCTTATGTTTGAAAAAGTAAATACAGATGAAAAAAGCTATAATAAAATTATATATTTGAAAAAGTAAATGCAGCGGTTTTAAATGTAATAACACATTTGTTTACCCATGCATTTCTCCATCAAACAAGTTAATTATATTTCATATATATTAAACTTATTATTTACTCAAGAAGCCTTTTGAATTAAAGGTTGAAACATCTTCAAACATCAGTTCATTTACCCTTGACTTAGCACTTCTAGATTTTTTACTAAATGAATCATTGACCAATTAAATAAATTTAATTAATTTAACCAATGAGGTCACCATCTTCACAAAAAGATTGATTACATATAATTAGAACAACTGGTGGTACATTTTGCTGACGGCATGTAATTTAAATTATGAACACAGTAACACTTTTACTGTCTGAATCTGCCAGGCACATTCATTTGAGTTTGTTTATTTTTCCGAAATGGACGCACCGCCATTTGGAATACAATTACTCCAGCAATAATATTTGGCAATAAATCTCTCGGACGTTATTCTTACCGTCACCACTTTGACTTTGCCAAAGTGCTCTCCATAAATCACACAATACTACGCTTGTGGCAGCCAATAATTATTCCTCTGGAGAATATTCATATCTAATAGGATTTCAACATGTCTGTGATGGCGTGGCTCCCAATGTAAACGGATGATTGTTCCAGGGCAGTCAGTACATCACTGTGTCCGAGCCAGTTTTTTTAATTTGAAAGTCACATTGGATCCCTGCTAAGCTTCACATATCGAGGATTTAGACCAGGGGTGTCAAACTCATTTTAGTTCAGGGGCCACATAGAGCTAACGGACATCTCAAGTGGGCCGGACCAGTCAAATCATAGCATTAAAACCTATAATTCACGACAACTCAAAATTGTTCCCTTGGTATAAGTGCAGAAAAATACATTTAAAAAATCTTCTTACAAAACATTATGAACAACCCTGAAATGTATTAAGACAAATAATTGCAATTTCAATAATTGAATGCCTCAGTTTATCATTAACACATGGGCATTACAACGTACAAGTCATAGTGTCTCTGCAAAGGCACACAGCCTTTAGTCACAGGTACAATACTTAATAACCTGAACAATATAGCATTTTGCAACAACTTGTCAAGATCTAGAGATGATTTTACATTCATTTCCACATCTGTGTAGTAATCCTGCTCACCTGAACTGACACACCACCATACAAACTAAAGTGGGAACTATTTAGGAAGAAGGTTAAGTTATCTCCTGCCTTGTAAATGTATAAAATGTATACAATCAAAATACATAAAAGTTGTGAAAATGGCAAGTAATGTAAATAGTAACAGTTTACATTTGGACCTCATTCAGTGATATCTCCTCTGCTTCTCTTTCAGTGAATGGTGCGTACTGCTCAGAGAAGGATTTGGACACGGAGCTGGGTGACGCTGAGGGCACCCTGATGCGATGTGGGCAGAGCCTGCTGGCGGGGGGTCATTTAGGGGGGCTCTATACCCAGAGCCTCCACTGCGACAGACCTACACCCGACCTCATTCTGCAGGACGGCCCTCACCAAGACACCAGGTAAACTGTCACTATCATTGCTGTTGTTAAATTATTTTCTTTTGAGTGTTTCCTGTTTGGTGTAGAATTACTAACATGATGCAGGTAGAGTGTGCTTCTCATTATTTTTGCTATTGTAAACCAGATGCACGCATATGTAGCTGAAAAGCTTTGCCCAGCCTCATAAAACCCACCGATGGGGTCCAAAGCACAACATTTATGTTACACTAATGCGTTTCTTATGTTGTGCAGTCTTTGACTACTGTTGGTCAAGTCAGAAATAATTTCCATCGAAGCTCCCTGTTATGGGTTATGTCCCTTTTTCCCCCTTTTTCCCCCTCCTCATCCGACAGCCATTCTCTTCTCTCATATTGTGTCTCAATATTTTCCCTATAGCCAAACAGGAAATGGTGCTCCTGAATAGAAAGAGAGAGGGGGGAGGGTCAAGGCTTTATTAACAACAACGATGACAAAGTCTGCCAGTGGCTTTCTCAAATCCTAGCTAGCGTTAGCTCTGTTTTTCCCCCAGCGTGCTCAGGGGAAGGGACAAAGACGATTCCTTCATGAGACAGCCCGGAGAAAAAAAGAGCTCTTCTCACATCACTCAGGGGCTTTGGACAAAATCCATAATGAGCCAACTGACAGGAATGATTATGTAGGAGATCACAGCAACGCATGGGGAAATATGACCTGGGTTCCCCATTCAGCGGGGCAAAGATTCCCACCATAATACACAGTATTGTAAACGGTGACCCTTCATAGGCCGCAATTATGCCACCAAAACAGGTGACTCCCTATTTATCCCCAATGTTGGGTTGGGTTTAACCCCTTTGTGTCATCAAAGCCTGTCAGATGGACACACTAGGCAGTGGCCTCTCGCTCTCAGTAGCCATCCTTCCCTCCCCCTCTCTCTATTCTTAGTCATAAATGCCCATTCATATCCTCTCACTACCCCGGGATCCTGTTTCATTTATTCATAAAAACACTGGATCAAGAGCGGTGGATACATCCTCATCCCCTTATGTCACCTACACAAGGCTAATGTTTGATCCCTTACGATGAATGAGTTAAATTATTTTCCGGTCAGTGGGACTTATTATATTATTTCATTGTAAACTAAGAGAATGATTGTATGAGGAGGTTGGTGAGCAAGAGGATACACTCTGAATGTTTTTCTGGTGGGAAGGATGAACTAGCCAGTGTCTGTCATCAGCCTGTTAGCTAGCAGCGCTCATATTCCTCTTTGTGCGTTTTCTCCTTACAGATCCTGCTCTGCCTTCCAGAGGACCCTGCCGGGGGCCTCGCCGGGATCAGACTGCGGCACCGCCAACAGGGCCCGCTCCTCTCTCCCTTACCCAATCAAACAAGAGAACTCAATGGGCTACAAGATCTCCAACACCGGGGTCCACAGCTCGTCTCAGGCCGGGTTTCAGAACTGTAGCGGAGGCCAAGTCTTGGGGATGACGAGGGACGAGCTAGTTGGAGCGCCACATGTTAACACCAGCGCTAGTGGCGTGTGCACAGTAGGTAGTGCTGTGTCCGAGAACGCAGTGCAGCCGTTTAATAATGAAGATGGCTCCTCCCCGTTGGCTTTGTCCCCGTCTGCCTCCCGTCATTCAGCGCGGCTGCTCAGTGCTAGCAGTCTGAGGAGACGCTGCCTGTCCCTCGCCTCACAGTCCTCTGCCGCCGCGGCCGCTAGCTTCGCTGCCTCATCGTCCCCATCGACTCCCGAGGAGATCAATATCACCGCCATCATCTGCTCCTCCTCCCAGATGTCGATGGTGGCTTGCGTCAACGGTTTCCGCTCAAACCTCTCGCCCAGCAGTGCCGGCTTCTCCTCCTCTTCCTCCTCCTCCTCCTCTACATCCCCACCCTCCAACTCCTGCTCCCGGGAAGCCCCCCTGAGGCCCCCACCTCACGGCAGCCCCCAGCAGCACACGCTACAGGAGAGCTGTCAGCTATCATCACCTGCCACCTGCCTGCTGTCCCTCTCCTCCTCCTCCTCCTCATCATCCTCCTCTTCAGTGTCATCAGTGGAGCAGGAGCAGGGGCAGAGCCAGGGGCCGTGTGAGGAGCGGGGCTCCATGCTGCAGGGCCGTGGGGCTGGAGGAGCAGCCGGGGGAGGAGGAGGAGGAGGAGGGGGAGGATCGGACGGGTTGGGGCTACTGATGAGTGGGGCCCTGATGTCCGGGATGCTGCATTCAGGGCCTGAAGCTGCGACTCTCCTGGACGGGGGCCAAAGATCAGGGGCGGTCCTCAAACAGGAGCCCCTGGATGACTTTTCTCCCAGCGAAGACGAACTCTTTCAGCACCACTATCATCACCACCATCACTTGAGTGGTCGCAGTGGGCAGCTACGTCAGCCTCACCACCCCTCTCGCCCCGCTATGCCCCCGCCCTACCACCTGCACCAATACCAGGGGCCCGGTCCTGGGGGTCTGCTGCACCACCAGAGCCAGCAAACGGCACCGCCCTCCTCCCTGGGACTCAAACCGACCTCTGGAGGCCCTCCGGGGTCTCACACGGAGCGGGAAGAAGTGGGAGGAGGAGCGCTGGTGGATAAGCAGGTATGTCGCTGGATCGACTGCAGCGCCGCGTACGAGCAGCAGGAGGAGCTGGTGAGGCACATCGAGAAGGTCCACATCGACCAGCGCAAAGGAGAGGACTTCACCTGCTTCTGGGCCGGCTGCATCCGCCGCTACAAGCCCTTCAACGCCCGCTACAAGCTGCTCATTCACATGAGGGTCCACTCCGGAGAGAAACCCAACAAGTGTATGGTGAGTAATCGTAATCTGTCATATTATACACCCAACACTCACCAGAACCCATAAAAAGACAGACACCAATGGTCCGGCATATTCACAACACCCAGTATTGTTGAAAATCCCGTCATAGTCAGCTGTCTCACTTTTAATAATCATTGCTTCTTTTTGAAAGTTTTGGGTTGCATTTATTGTTTTATTATGAGTGTAGTTTTTCAGATAATTGCAACCATCTGTTTTCTGAATTACACACAAGCACATATTTCACAAAGTCCCTCAAGATGATTTTTCTTCAACAAGATACACGTCCATTGTGTCCAAAACCAAGACTGGACTTGCTTCACTGCTGATTACTTTTCAACAAAAACATTTATTTTGTTTTGGTTGAGAAACAGTTATGATTATAATTCCTGTATTTTTAGTTGAACAGGTAAAAAAGAGGGTTTCTTGTCCTCTGAAGATGTGAGCTGCGGTACAGTAAATGCAGCTCTACCTCGTCAGTATAAATAGATGTGTGGTTATATTCTTTACAGGTAAGGCTCCAATTCCACAAGTCAACACTCTAATCAATGTCAAGCTGTCACTCCCCCGCGTCCCTTAGCAAATGGAAAAAGCCCTCCAACCTTAAGAGAGACTTAGTCCAAATACACAATTAGTCCACAATTTGTGTAGGGCGAAGCCATGTTTATTTTCACGAGCACTCTGTTTTTTGAGACAGGATTCAGATGATGAAAAGCCAACACATATGGTTAACATAACCAAACAATGCCTACACTTGATCCTTTTAAATGGGAGCTTTAAATGTTTAGCTGTCCCACAAGTATTAAGTGAGTTGGCTTCCTATCCAAGCCAAACACGAGGAGAAATGCAGTAGTCTGGAGAAAGGAGCCACAGAGGGATGGTCGGTTACATTTGCTAGTCTTGCTCAATTCACGGCTTCACCCAAAGCCACTGTCAAAAGTGGTCCTCTTCAAGTTCGGGAAGCCATCCAGAATCCTAATTACTTGAAAAACTCAGTGTGCGTATTGCTACAGCACCTGTTTTATCTCCATGGCTTTTTTTTGTCTTAAAAGAAAAACAATCCAGGTCTTGTTTATTTTTCTAATTACCAGTGCCTTGTAGTCTTCGAACAGAAACTTGTATTTAACGGCAGTTTTTTGTTGAGTTGGATAAGAAATTCATGTTGATTCTGAGTCATTCTGATACTTGTTATAGTGCACATCTGAGCTGATTTAAGCCAAAAAGACACAAATTGTTCTTTCTGCTTTGCGTCACAGTGTTTCTGCTCCCTTGGCTCAGCGTGAACTAAACATTTGGAAGTAATTTGCTGCCTTATGTGTCCCCCAACTGTTAATTCTGCTTTGGGAGTGTGTTGGATTAAAGGCTTTAATTCGGCTTTTATATTCATTCCTCATTTGTCGTTGTTGTCGCTGCTCTTTGTAGACTTTTAAGATGTCACACAGCAAATAGACACTGAGTGAATGTTTGCATGTGTATACGCTAAAGGTGTATGCATGACTGTGTCACTGTGAAGGTGCGTGTATCGGTGTGTTTATGTGTGTTTTCGGAGATGTTTACCATATGTGAGCTCTGGAAAAAGTTGGCTCAGTGTGGACGAGCCACTGGATTCTGTCTGCAGACATGAGGCTGTGTGAAACACCGCTACACACCCTCACCTCCCGATCACCTTGGTTTCAAACACACACATTTTCACAGCCATGCATTTGTGTAACAACTTGGATATTGTTCCATTCACTCTCACAATAGGAAGTATTGATTCCCTTTACAGAGCGTTGGTTTGTAACACTCCTCTTTCTTTGACAGATTTCAAACAGAAATGTGAAATGTTTGCGAGCTTGAATCAACACATCTAATCAGCAGGGATTGAATGTATGCTCTTTTGGGACTTCTGCAGATAAACTTGGAGGGCCAGAGAAAATATACACACTCTCCGTGTGTATTTATACCTGTGTTTGTGTTTGTATATAGTCCATACGGATTTCAGTAAGTACTACCTATAGGAAACCTACCGTCACTGTGTGCCTTTTTAAGGGGCATGCTTGTTAGTTTATTTTAGTTGTGTCCATCTTATTTCTTTTTCTCTGAGATTGTGTGCCACTAGCACTGGTGCCTTTTGTGTTTTTTTTGCCCACGCAATAGACAAAGGCATTCAAGAATTTGAGCAATTCCTACAGAGGAAGCAGATGAGACATTCTGTTTTAGAAATGCTGTAGAAAAACCATAGCTAATCCCTTTATTATCTTTCCAGCAGCAGACTCCAGCGGGCACTCAAATCCAAACATAACACATCTCTCCCTCTCTCTCTCTTTATATATATATATAAACTGTATATATTTTCCTTCATACAGCTGCACAGCATTTGTTTCATGCTGCGTCTTGGCAGGAAAAAGTCATTATCACAAGTTGTATCCCGACCCCTGCATGAGCCTGTCACACTCTGTACCTGGCTTATATTTTAAGAAATGCTGCTCGGTTCCCTCCACATGTAGATGGTTGGGTTAGTGGCTTTTAAAAAAAGGTCTGCAACCTTTTTTCAGGAAATATGTTTTGGTTCTTTTTTCACCGCCAATTAAAGCTTGCCCCGGGCTGTTGTGTAGAGCACTGAGGGACACACGGCCGAAAAGGAAACAACATAATCTCGCTGCAATATCCTGTTGTGTTTCATGCCTAATTCACTTGTTGTTTTAGTTTATTACATTTTTTTTTCCTGTGTCTGCATAAATATTAAAAATATATCCAGCAGCAGTAGCCCTGACTTGGTCCCAGACTTTGATATTGTTCTGCTTTGTCAGAGGATTTGAAGCGTCTGAAGAATGGTCTGTGAGCTATAGAGGTCACAAAGTATTCTCCTAAAGCATGCAGCTCTGTGAGGAGAGGGCAGAGCGGTAACATGGCAGAGGGACTTCATTTGGTTTGTTTGCATAGCTCTTTCTTGGGAGTATTTCTTTGGTATTTCTTAAGCTCAATAGTATCTTTTTAATGTTATTGGAGGAGGTTATGTTGTCGTGGGATAAAGGATACAAAGCCTGTCTGTGGTTAGGAGAAAGAGAAATGCAGCAGATTTAAGCACATTTTTGATAGATTATTTACTGTAAATGACGAAGGGAGTGTTGTAAAAACTGTTTTGGTTGGATATAACATTAAGGCTTATTTAAAAATTATATTTTTGCACCTGGCTAATAAGGCATGGCTATAAAATGTTATGTAAGTAAAGTGATCTTAATAGTGATTTATATCTCATCAAGTGAGCAGACATTATGAAGCATATCTATATTCATCTGGAGCCACTTTCTTTTGTAGTTTAAGTTCCAAAATAACTCTCCCAGGTTCATACCATTTAGGTGACTGGTTGAGAATGTTTTAAGTAAAGTAAAGAAAATCCTTCCATAAAAGGGTACATTCACATACTTTAGCGTTACTCACATGTTAGAGGGAAAGCCACTCACCCATTTCACAATGATAAAATGCAGCCAGCATTAGCTGCTTAATGGGACCCTGTCCAAATACACACACACACACACACGCACACGCACACGCACACGCACAAACACCAAAACACTCGCTGACACTCTCAATCAAACCACTTGTTGAAGGAAAGTTGGATGTTGAGGCCTGTTGGAAAAAAAGTGTGCATCATGGAATTGCCTCTTTTTTCGCAAGTGTGAAACCGGCAAAAAGAAAATATCTATATATTTAGATTTACTAGACTGATTTTTGGAAGAGAGTGGCAAAATCCCTTGGCAGCAGACGGTGAGACATAGAGCGCGGACTGCTGCCAAGATGGCGTGTGTTTTCAGGAGTAAATGGAGTCTTTTGTGAGCAATCAGCTCAGACCAGGAGATGAAACAGGTGCCATTAGCTAATTAAAACTGAGGTTCAGCACATGACCCGACTTTTCCTCTGAATGCCGCCTGAAACTGGAGCCGTCTGGGCAGCGGGTGGCGAGTGGCGAGTGACGTTGATATTAATGTGTTTGTACCCGTATGAGCCTCTGACACTCGGGCTGAGCTTAGACGACACAATCTCAGAGTCCAGCTTCTGAACCACCAAGGCCCAAAAGATGATGATGAAGATGATTCAACTTTATTGTCATTACATAGTACAGGTACTAGTAACGAAACGGTTTCTCTGCATTTGACCCATCCTAGTGTTAGGAGCAGTGGGCTGCCATTATGTACGGAAAAACTACCTGAGCTCTCAATATTTCTGAATGCACAAAGCTCGATTTGATATACATTTGTCCTAAAGCGCAGCTAAGTAGTTTCACTCAAGTAATGTACTCTAGTAATATTCAGAGGTACTTTACAGGAGTATTAACATTTTCTGCCACTTTATACTTCTACTACACTACATATCAGAGGCAAATACTGTACTTTTCTCTGAACTATTAAACACTTGTAGTTACTTCTTAATTTTTACATAATTACCATAATGTATTAATATCACTTATAAAACGGACAAGTCAAATCAAGCAATCTGATTGGTTCTTAGCCGTGAATATAATGAGCGTATATCACGGGTAGAATTGTAGTTACTTTTCACAACAAGTCAGTATCCCTCCGCGTCTGAGAAAAGCTACAACCGTTACAACTGTTACATTACGTCTGTTACGAAACTAACAAACTACCAAAGCTTAAGATGGAAACATGCTTCGCGTCGGGCCGAGCCACGCCCCTTAACTGTGATATAATGACCATATACCACGGCCTGTCGTGAGCTATTGCTTAAATATAAACTACTTATCTACTCAGTAGCACACAGTAGTATACTTTGCTCCTCATTGACAACATCCAACATGAAAACCTCCCATATGTATTTAATAGTGACAACACAGAATAATATAATATTCTATAAATGTATAATACTGTGAAAAGAGCCATTCTGCATAATGAGTTATTTTACTTTTGATATTTTAACATTTTGAATTGAATTCAGGACTTCTATTTGTAATGGAGTATTCTAAGACCATGGTATTTCAGTTTGTACCTAAGTAT